AGGCTAACTGTTGCTCTGACAGGCTTAGGCAGAAATGCAAAACTGCCCGGAGCATTTGGGGTTGAGAGCACTTGTTAGAACATGTGAGTGGCCAGACTGGAGACACATGCAGCCCTCTCTGTCCCTCACATGCCATTTTTTCATATTACGCTACAGACTTGTCAGTTACAAGAACATGACTCAAAAGTTATCATTAACCATACCGTAACAACCCATTTTTTACCTGGGCTTCTCCAGTCCTGACATAATTAGGTCAGTGGAAAAGCTTCATCTTTTTTGTGAAAGCAGTCTGTGCTTGCCTCAAGGGATAAAGGCAACTTACAACAGACTTGCATGAATTTGACAGCAGCTATTGCAATGTTGCCACAGAGCAGATGTAAACATTTTTGCTATATAGCATGTTGCTTAAGGTCTTGTCTGGGCTTGTTATAGATAGGTCTATAGAGAGGAGAAATGGGAATCAGAAGTCATCATGTCACAGGCTTGTCCTTACACTTATCCAATAGAAGCCGCTAGCCTGAAAAGCCATTCTTTAAGTACAAGCTTGTTACGGTATTCTGCACAGAAGTGCCTGCTGAAAATAGTAAAGTATACGTATGATGCTGAACTTCCCTGTCGTACGTTCTGCGAACTACTGGGACCTCAAGGTGCTAAAAGAGCTCTTTCATGTTCTTTTCCTGTGTAAAGGGCAAGGGGTACAATAGCATACTCAGATTTTCCCCTATTTGGAGGTACCAGTGAGACTGTGTGTCAGCTTCCATCATAATCCCTTCCCCATCCCCCTAATTACATACAGTTTGGGTAAGTACATAGTTATGTAAAATACATGTCCTCATGCCTGCCCTGCTGTCTCTTCCAACTGTTGACATGTTCTCTCAATGTATATGTGAAAAACAAGAGTGTTGGAAAACAACCTCTCGGGAAAACACTGATGATTGTTCTCCAGCCTCGGGCTACTCCACCAGGAACAGTCAGCTCTTTGTCAGGGACATCAGCTGGACACATACAAACTGACTGGGGATTTGTTCTGGGCCTCTCTGCTTCAGAAACAAAACGAGAATCCACAGTGGGCTTGTGTTTATCTACAGATTAATTGCCCCCCCCCTTTGAAGGTAATACTTCTGTGTGCTCACGACTGGGGTAATTTTGTTGAGATTTGCCAAACTGTTGTGGCTGGCTATAGTTTTTTACATGGCCTTCTCTACTCTGGAGAAACTACTAGTACATACACTGACAGAAATGTTCGGGTGACATGAGTAATGTAACAGCTAACCTTACACAGTCACGTGCCTTTGCATGCCTGTAGCTCCTGAGCAAAGAGGATGATGTAGCCGCTTCTGCTTCTCCAAAACACCCGGCTGATTTTCCTGTTTGACCCAAGCAGAACACAGGCAAAACTGAGAGAACGTTTACTCCGTAAAACAAAAGTACAAAGCATGCAGAGAACTGGTTCTGCATTTCAGGCCTTGGCATGTCCTCCTTTAGTAAACCACTCTACACCACCCCGCTTCTGTGGCTTTAGAGAGCTTTGTGGCTTAAGAGATAAGTTTGCAATTGCTATTTGGCATGGTTTAGGGTTTTTTATTCCCTCTTTCGGAATAGGAGTGTATCATACGGCATCCTGATGATGTGCTCTGCAAGCAAAGTGTGTTTCCTCTTAAAAGTCATTTCCGATTATTGATTTCAAACATCCCAGAGAGCTTAGCCGAAATTTGGCTGCAAAGAATTTGCGCAAACCCTGACAAACACGGGAGGTGTTCTCCGAACTCAAACTGTGAAGTTTAATCTGCCTTATTGTGCTGGTACCTAAATATGCCTGGAGCTGCAGCTGGTTAAATGAAGAGTCCAGCTTCACTCTGTGTATTATAAGCAGGACAGAATTTCACAATAGCTTTGTATAACCCCTTTGTGCAGATGTCCAAGGGCTAAGGGGGCCGATTAGTTTCAAATACCACTCAAAACAGCCAGCCATTATAGAACACTGTCTGTCTTTCATAATATGTCAGCAGAAATCTCGTGAGGATGGTCTCAGCTTTGTTTGCAGGCAGAGTTCTACCTACCAGTTTACCCCAGGGGTAAGAAGGAAAAGCTGTCATTCTCTACCATCACTCTCATGTAACGTGAGTCGGAGGGGGGGGAATGTTATTTATGTGAAATTCTTTCTCCTAAGAGCACAAAACTTGCCACTGACCCTGACATAAGCAGGCACAAAGCCATGGAAACCAGGGGAAGTTACACAAGGGTGCAAAACTGTTTACGGAGCCAGATCACACACTGGACCCAATGTTGCCTCGGGGGGAGTAGGTGGGGCTTTCGGCATTTGCGTGGGAGCTCTCCAATGAGACCCAGAGGAGGACAAAGCTACAACCTTCGGGTTTTCATAACAGCATCTCCCTCCAGTCTGGCTGAGGCATGGGCGGAGTTTGCCGAAACTAAAATAAACACTGACACGCAGCATCTTGTGAGTATGTGCAGCCTCAGAAGGATCGACTGCAATAGCTGGAAGGATAAGGACAGCTTAAAACGTAAGTATGTCTGCTTTCTCCGCTTTCTTAATATAATTAGCAGCTTGTGGAATGGCATGTTCTGGCTACGCTTACTTGTGGCATCAGTGTAACCTGTGAAGGTGCCTGCTACGCTTTCTGTCCCTTTGGCTCACGTGTTAACAGCTGCAGAAAAAGCCTAAACACCCTACAGTAATATTTATAGGAACAGATGGAAATCTCTAAGCTAAGCTTTCCTGTAGATCTAGAAGTGAATTCATCTGTCAATATTTGGAGGATTCTTCTAAATTTGTCTCGCCCCCTCAAAAGCACTGTTTCATGTAATTAAAAAATACTTACGTGCAGTTACTGACAGTACTGGCCACAAAGTTATAAAAGACAGAGCTGTGAGAGATCTAACCAGCAGTTAAGAAAAGGCGTGTCGGGGAGGGGTTGGAATTTGCAAGGACAGAGACAAGCCAGCTACTACGACAGCATGTGTTGAAACGGAGGAACATTTACTTGTCTGCTTTGTAATATGCCCAGGGAGCAGATCAAGAGGAGCAATGTGTTTTCTATCACAGAGAGAAATCAAAAGTGAAGTGACAGCAAAGCAGGAGCATCTTTGCCTTTGAAATGCCAACGGATAAAACAAATTACTGTAGGAAGTTTCAGTGTAATTGCTCACATTTGCTTCTAATAAAACAACCGGATTCCCACTTTACTGTTATGCTTTGTTCATACTATTAACAAGAAGTGTATTAGAGTACAACTGTCCAGCTCAGGACCGTGCAGCAGTCTCTGGTGAGCAGTCATTCTGGTGAAGACTGCTGAAGATGTATCTTCAGGCTGGGACAGGGAGGGGGACAGCACCTGCTTTTAACTGCCGGCACCGGTCTCCTGCTGTGTGGTTGTCCGATCATCCCCTCCTCTAACAACTGAAGGTGCTGCTAGAAAAAGCTCAACACGTGAGTGCTCTGTGCACTACTTATTTTAAGCATTGTAAGTGAAATCGGTGCCAGCAGGGTTTCTTTGGGTGTGTGTTTTTGTTTTTTTTTTTCACAAAAGCTTTTCAACATCATAGATCCCAAAGAGAAAATTCCTTGTAGCCACCTCTAAACCAGGGTACAAGAAGGGGATTAATAGTATTTAACAGCACCCTACATGTCATGAGAAAATGGAAACAGATAAGAAAGTACTCAGGTTTCACAAGGCAGTTCTCGATTTTACAAAAGCAGCCATGGTCTTACATTCACAAACTGTCATGTTTAAGATGGCATACCTTAAAAACTTTAAAAATGCTTATTATAGATTATGAATGGTCCACCATTCATATTTCAGATACCACTGCAACACAAAACGTTGTTATGGACCTCAAACACAGACGTTGCCTTTGTCAGCAATCCTAGGCGGCATGATTTCCCCTTCCCGCTCAGAGACGTGTTGTACCCGTAACACGGCAGGTGGGACGTGCTGTGAATTGCATATACTTCATACTTTTAGCAAAAGCCCATGAAAAAAGTAAAGTCACGAGTGACAGGGCAGCAGTTTCTTGTTGTATGGGCAGCCAAAAACAGTTGAGGAGGCAGACAAATGAAAAACCTCAAAGTTTGTTCTGTTACCCAAGAAACATGCAATTAAGTTATACTCTGAGAAGACAATGTACTATGATCTAAGAATCAAGATTAATTGCTGAATTAATTACATGCTGTCTTTACAATGTGACATTCAAGGGACATTGTAATGCAATAGAAAGCAGAGACTTTCTCAGGGTGCAGGTTATGTGCTACCATCTGCCTGGTAATGACAAAAATCATAAATGAAGGCTCCTAAAAACTCAAGACTTTTAACCAGATGTGATTATTTCAATAGTGATTTTTATTATTTTTGCTTGCTTTGTTTTGGGACAGAGAGAGGAAGCTGAGTGTTTCCACATTTTCAGCTTTTTCCTTCTGTGTGAAGGCTACTTAGGGAAGTAGCTACAGATTCATACAGAAAACCTCATCTATTCTCAGGACGCTGGGCTGAAGGCCTTTAAGGCAGGCATCAGCTATTATGAGAGGCCTAATAAAGTTACGGGCACAGTCAGTACCAGAGTATCCATCAACACCGATACCTCTTCATCCAGGAGCAAATTGCCTGAACTCTTCAAGTCCTTTTTACTTACGGAGTTCTGAGAAACTGACACTTGCAGAATCTCAACCTTGTTTTGCAGCCAGGAAATGCCTTCATTTCACAGAGAAGCAAAGGCAGCATATCCTGAAAGAAGAACACTCCCACATCAGCCCGGACGTAGTTTCTTGGCCATGGTTCTCTGTTGGTTCCTTCAGGGCTAAAAGGATTTCAGCCCTTTTTGTTTTATCATTGGGGACAAGCAGTAGAATCCAGGCCTTTCACAATTTCAGGGACAACTGAAATGTTAGGCAGAAAAGCCCTAGTGCTTGCTTTCTTCTGCCCCATTTATCCTGTATTGATGGAAGAGAGGCCAGTAAACTGTGTCTGCCTTTCAGCTCTGGGAAGATGATCAAGTCCTTCAAGCAAACATTTCTGTCCCTGGATCTGCAGTCCCCTCGGTGGAGCTCAGCAGAGACAATGGTAACTGCTAAAGGCTGGGGGAAGAGCTCTCTGCAGTCAGGGTGCTGCAGAGCTAAGGCGGATTTGGGATTCCGAGTCTACTAAGCCTGGAGGAGCTGGGAAGTTACTATAAACACTGTTCACACCTAATTGCACAGGGGAAAAGGAACACCTACTTCAGCCTAAGGCAGAACAGGCATGGTGTTGCAAGGGAGGCAAAGTTTGACACTGGGAGTATGCCTCAAGTCCTCAGCAAAGAGGCTGCCCGGTGTTACCTCATTGCAACAATATTTTCATGCTGATTTGGAAAAAGTAGCTATTAGTTTGTGTCATTTGTAATATTCATCTCATGGTTACTGTGACTTTTGCTGCCTTTCAGGCAAAGGATTATGAGCTGCGTCAGTACGAAACAGCAAAGTGGGTCAGCACAGTCATTAGGGGAGAAACCCAGAAGGAGGCAATGCGCCAGGGCTTCTGGAAACTCTTCCACTACATCCAAGGGAAGAACGAGAAAGGTACAATGTGCTGGTTTTGAACTGCAAGAAGCACAAACGTAACAAAAAGCCGAGTAGTACAAAGCAGTAGATGAGCTGCAGTACACAGCAGGTTCCCTTTTCTGGTCTAACACCCTTGTGAGTCGATTAGGCCATCATACCCATGAGGCTGCTTCGGTATCTGCTTTAAGATAAGTCGGCATCACCATTTATTTACAGCAGTATTCAAGCTGCAAGCAAAGACAGTGCCTAAGACTTTTCTTCCTCTCCTCTAGAAATGAAGATTGACATGACTGTACCAGTGACATGCCTGGTAAAATCTGGCTGCGCAGACTTCAAGATCTCTTTCTTTGTGCCATTTGAACATCAGGACTCCCCACCACAGCCCACCGACTCGGATGTGTTTATTGAAGAGAGGAAGGCAGCGGCCATCTTTGTCCGGTAAGCAGCACCAGCACAGCTGACAAAGGCAGGCAGCTACTGAAAGGGGTAAGAGTCTGGACTAATCTTCCCTAGAGCTGTTTTTTAACTCTGGACATATCCTGCTGTTCAGAGCCTCAATTGGCAAAACTTCAGCGTTTAGAAAACCTTCTTACACTTGGGTATCTTACTAAGAACAAAGAGAAATGACCAAGTTTTGAAACACTTGATTTTTCAGCAGACTCTTGAATATTGCATTGAGTTTTATGAAAATGCAGCCTACAGAATCCTCTTGGAACCGTTCTGTGCTACAGAACATCTAAGTCACTCTTCCAGCCCCCTTTAGTTGTAGTCCCAAGCTCCCACAAAACCTGCATGCCAGTTCTTTATTACAGGAAAAACACCCAAAGCTACAGTTGCCCTCTCTGCACATATTAAAGACACAAGCAACAATGTGTGTTGGTTAACGCTCTCAGAACTGCAAGCAAGTTAGGAGATAACCCTCCCTTTTCACTTCTACCAGGTCCTTCGGTGGATTTGCCTCCCCAGAGAAATATGCTGAGGAAGCTGAAGTCCTGGCCAGAATCTTAAGAAACAGAGGTCAACAATTCCATGAGGATTTCTTCTATACTGCAGGCTATGATAGTCCCTTCAAGCTCTTTAACAGGCACAATGAAGTGTGGTATTTTAAAAAGTAGTATGATGGGGGGGAATATTAAGAAGCTACTAATCAGCTCTGGATGAAAATAGATCTTATTAATGGCTTTGGCTTTTGCAGAAGAGATTTAATTTGCACATGGACACAGGATGAGGTCTAATTCATTTTCTCTAGGATGAAATACTACTCTGGTTAAAAAGATTTCAGCTCTTTCTACAAGAGGCAATTTAAATTCAAGTAGATTGTACCAGCTGGAGTGGGAGGGAGGTACGACAAACCTATTCCTCTTATTGAAAGGTTCTAGGGAACACTAATAGTCTGAAAATATTCCTGCAGAACAATTTGGATGGCTACTTTTACTTCTCATTAGAAGTGCTACGCAATAGCTCAAGTGTTATGGAGAATAAGTTCTTCACAGAGTTGCCTTTTCCCATATCGATATCACTCCCGAGACAGAAAGATGAGGGAATTGCATTAATTTTTCAGAGAACAAACCTACCGGTTAGTGAGTTTTGGGAAGCAGCAACACCTTAGCAGGCCCTAGTGCCTCATAAGCAGTAACTTTTGTTTTAAATAGTATTATCAAAATCCTCCACCTCTCCACTTGGAGGCTGGACGCTGTCTTGCTCCAGACTAATGCCAGTGAGCAGATTAGACTAAATCCAGTGTCCAAAAGCTGTATGCTTATTCTGTGCACATCATCTCCACTTGAACATGTAACACCAGACTTACTGGTGGCCTGTAATTTTAGGAGCAAGAACACAAGTAGTAGCATTTAGCTCTCACCTACAAAACACTAATCGCTACTTCAACTATTTAGCTTTGTTGAAATCTTGGTATTGGTCAGGTCAGCTGCAGCCTGCACACCAGCAGGATCTGATACCCAAGTTAAAAGACACTTGCAGGACTAGTATTTAAACCAGTTTAGTCCCTGCTCCAAATCAAGCATTGGAAGCTTTTAGAAAATAGCCTAGAGCTGTTTTACAGCAAGCTGTTCAAGCCAGAAAGCAGTTCACAACAACAGGTAGAGTTTACAAATTTTTATTGGTTCCAATCACTAGCAGGCAAACATTACCAGTGTGGTAAAAAAACTTGGTTTTTTTTAATGCTGTTCATGCAAGTGTAACCCATTATTCTGCAATCTTCCACCTATTAAGACAGACGTAAGAACCACTGTAAGGCACCAAACCAGCACAAGAAGCTTGCTGGGAACAACTCAGACCTTAAGATTTTCATCTCTGTTCAGAGAGAGAGTTCAAGATAAGGTTATCATCATTTGTTCCAGCAAATAAATTTCATTATTACTACAGTTACACTCACCTTCTCAGTTCTTCATACAGCAGTTTCAAAGTTGCCTCCTCACCTAAAGCGAGAAAGCACAATTAACATATGCAGTAGCACAACTCTAAAAGCTTCACAGCAGCTTTGTAACCTCAGAGAAAAGTGGAACGGAAATTGTAATATCACAGTAATTCATTTGGCAGAATCAAATTTCATCAGTGGCTACAAATATTCCCAGCAATATTTAACAGAAACCATCTGCTGTGTGGTCTTACCCAATGAGGTTGCAGAGAGCACAGTCCTTTCCTGAGAAAGAGAGAACTTGTTTCAGAACAAGACACCACTGTATGCAAGTTTAATTATTTATCTACAAAATTCTATTTGCCAAGCTAATTTTACATACAAGGAGGCTGCATTTCAGGTGGCAACTGACAAGAACTTCAATTTCCAACACCCAAATAGGATATACAAAGCTTACAAACCCTAACTGAATCGGAAATACAGAATTACTAACATTGGAAGAATCGGGGAAAAGTACAAAGCTACTACTTGCTTTGTGATACTGTCTCTCCAACAGAAGGTTATACTCAATGAGTTTTGATACCTAAAATAGAAGTCCTCTAGAAATCTGGAAAATCTGTCCTTAAAAGTGAGAACCAGTCTGTTGGAAGAAATAAGTTTGTACAGCAACCATCCAGAACTTGATTCTAAATCTGTCTACAGCCAACATAACCAAGATTAGCAGAAACTACTGAGTAGTGACAACCACAGCATATAGGGCTGGTTGCTTTTTTCTTTTTAATTCAAGAGGGCAGTATTACTAGTCAGTCCACATAACAGCCACATACATGAGATGAGTTATGAAAAGAGTTACATTTGCTACTGTGCATTCTGCTGTACTATGTTAATCAACATTGTATTGGCAGAAGTTGTCTCCACTGATTCAGTTCCTTTACTATTTCTACTGTGTGATGACTCCAAGCAGTAAAAAAAGTTCTTAGAGTCAGTAATTATCAAGCCCCACGTACTCTACACTTACCTCAGACATAAGTTAGTCTTGTTTCTCACAAACTCCCCAGAGGCTTCACTCTGTAACAAGTGAGATTTTGTTAACACACTCTCCCTGGCAGTGCTTCACAAATTAGTTTGAATGCGGGTACTGTTTCAGCGCAAGAGTCCTCCTCAGCCTCTTTCAGAGAGATTCCCATTGCTTAGAATTAATCATCACAAACAGTACATGCTTAGAGAAGCCTAGTGTTTTGTTACTTCCGTTTCTCTTAGAGAAGGACCCGACTTCACCATTTCAGACCTTACTCCCAATCACATCTTCATTCACATCACATAAAAGCTCTAATCTAGCCATCGAGACAAATAATTTACCACATAACTTCCGTTATTGAAGGTCAGTGCTACACCCTGCAAAAGCCCCCTAAATTTAACCTGTAAAAAGTTAAATAGCAAATAATTGCTCTGGTTTTGGTTAGCACAAGCTCTACACACTGCCAGGTTACCACACATTCTTTCCTATCAACTAGGAACTCAAGCAGTCCATAGCACGCACGTTATTTCAACAGGTCCACGCCATTTCTTTTCAGTTACAGAAAGCAGTTAACATTCTCAAGTAGTAGAAAGAGTCTGAAGGTAACTGAGAAACAAGCAGCTTACCAAGTAAGCATTATCTGTCACAAAGTATCCAGCAGTTCTCCCATTCTCAAATCTATGATAAACACGTAAGAAAACAAAATGTTAGTCCAATGCTGACATTACTCCAAGATCCCCATCACCCAGTTCTGACCAGTCACATGCATTCGCTGGCAACTTACTTTTTTTGCCGGTAGCACTACCAACTGCATCACTTCACAGCTCCACCGCACCAGGCCTGGAACAAAGCAAAGGATCAGGCCAGCGCAGATGCAAGCACACGAGGATGAAATCTAGTCAGGTGCCTGAAGTCAGATAGAGCTAATTGCAGACCTCCACGATTGAAGTCAAGGTAGTCACATCTCATCACGCAGGCAGCTCACATTGTCAGTCACTGGACAGCTATCTGCTTTAGGCTAAGGTTGCTACGGGGAAGGGGGCAAATACACAAACAGTGCTATCACAGCAACTTCACGAGCTCACAGGCACACAGCAAAGAGCTCAGCACAAAGCAGCCTGTCAAGGCTGGGCCTTACGCAGCAGTTCTCCCCTTAAGCATCCTCCTGTTTTGGCTGAGATGCATGCAGCCAACACTGGCCCCTTGCACCAGCTTACATGCAGTTAAATACTTCACTTATAGACATTTCTTTTAATGCCAATACTTGCAAAGTTAAAAGAAGTACTTACATCGCAATGAGACACACTGTGGAAGCCTGCAATGGAAAATTTGCTATTAGGTAGAGTCCAGCAGAAGGTCTTGGCATAAGAACAGCTCCAGTGAAGTACTGTATCAGCGTTTAGTCAAGTTTTATCCTCATTGGGATCAGAGACCTGATTCAACATCATCTACAGTAGACAGCAACACTCCCATTCCCTTCCACAACGAGGGCATGAAGCCATCTCCCACCACTCTCCCCCCTCCAGAGACCCTGAAATTGCAGAAAGGAGCAAACCTCTACATTGCAGAGTTCAGTGACATGAACTTTGTGTTAACATCAGCTGGCCTTAAACGGGAAAAGCGTTTCAGATTCTAAACTCACAGTACTGCCGCATTCACCATTTAGTCTCAACAAGCACATTCTAGAAATCTAACACTGCAAAACAATTACTATCTCCAAAAGCAAATTCCCAAGCTCAAATGCAGCACAGCCAAATGTAGCATCCATCTAAAACAAAGGTTTTTAATTTACCTTCAATTAGGAAGGCCACATCTTCACCAACATCAGTAACAGGTGAAATAGCTTCTCGCACTGGAGACATAGGTATCCTCTGGCCAGGGCAGCCTGCAAAGCAACAAAACATTTATAGAACTTGGAGCACTAACACCAGATCAACCAAGATTGTTACTGAAATAGCAAGTTTATTCCACTGTATCTGTGCTTAATTTCACAAGCACAGCTAACTCTCCATCCTACTACATTTTTAAAGTTTAGCCCATTTACTGATCTTCAGAGACAAGTTTTCAAAACACATCTGTGGAGCAAAACAAAGCAGCATTTCACCCTCAGCTTTCCACATGAATTGTCTAACAGCCTAAGGTACAGCAGGCTGCATCAGATAGGAGCGAAAGACAGTAACAGCGTGATCACCACGGGTCATCTGCTGAACTATGCCGTCATCACACACAGCCTTTTTGCACATTAGGGATATAAATTAGTTTTTACAGATGCAGGCAATACACTATTTACCTTGCACAGCTTACAGCTTCATGTCCTAGTGCCTGCAACGACAGAAAAAAATCAGATTCCTTCAGCCTTCACAGCCAAGCCTACACCTCCTAGCAAGACATCACAAGAGACAGATACATCAGATAGGAGCGAAAGACAAAACTGTTCGTCACAGGACATTCTGCTGAACTATGCCATCATCACTGTATCTGCTTTGGAATAATAGTACCAAGCAATCGCCTCTTGCGACAGCTTTGAAAAACTGAAATTCTCCAAATAAAACAAAGTAGTATTCAAGAGTTTTTGAATACTAGCAAGTACCAATTGTTTCTGTGTATTAGTGAAAATTAATCCCAAAGTACTTCCCTCCCATTTTACACTTCCCACCCATTTTACACTTCCCACCCATTTTACACTTCCCACCCATTTTACACTGCAGCGTTTCAACAGCTCCATGGAAGAAACCCCTCCTTAGACTACACATTTCTCACCAGGTGATGTTTCTTCTGCAAGTCTTCCAAGTGCACAAGTCAAATCCTAGAAGGACAGAAGCTTATGAACAATATATTCAGAAGTCAAAACACCCAGGAGAAATCTAAGTTGTTGTGCCTCAGAG